TTCACTGGCCTGCTATAGATGTCTTCTGCAGTATTGTTTGAGATAAGAATTTTCCACATATCAGGGAAGAGAGAGAAACAGAAACTTCTGTAAGGGAATTCAGGCTGGAATGGGATGAGTTACTCTCTGCAGGCTGCTCTCTTCCTACATAACAGCAATGCCAAGTAAAACTGATCTTTTTTTACTCATTTTTGCTATGTCTCACAGGAAAAATGTTAATTTAAGTGAATGTTAATCACAGACATAGGTGGATGAACACATTACAGATTTCATTTCATACAGATGCCATTGAACATATTGTGCTCCAGATTTTATAGAGAAGCAGGTCTCTACTTCTGTGGGTATTAAAGTATCTTGTGGCATAACATTAAGAAAAAAAACTTTCCAAAGGAATAGTATCAGAACAATGGCCTAATTTTGTTCCAATGCCAGAGTATTCTCCAACACTGAGCATTTTTCAAAAGACCAGATTTTTGAGAAAAGAGGGCAGAAGGCAAAAATAAAACTGCAAGTATTTTTTGTGAAATGAAACCTTTGTCCTGACAAAATAGAAGGAGAACAAATGCTAAGCATTGTCTAGGGAGTTGTTCTTCCTTGAAAGTAAGGTAAACTTTGTCTACTTTCAGAAACTGGCAGTCTCAATTTATTAAGGTAAAGGGATGTACAAATTTTAAGGATGGTGTTGAGTGAATGTGTCCAATCTCCACACAAACGCCTATCGTCCAGGAGATTTCCAATACCCATTGGAGAATCCATAGCAGACTGTATATCTTGTGAATAAAAAATACCACCAGCAAAAGAGTGCGTTACAGTGCATAAAATTCATAAATGTTCTCTTGCACCTAAGTGAACTGTTCTCTGGGGGATCAATTCTTTTGCCAACTCTCTGAGAAGGGTGGTGTAACTTCTGAAAGAGGTCTGTAATAGGTAACAAAATAGGTAGAAAGAGGGACTGATTTTTTTAAACTAAGAGAGACTATGCAAATATATTAATTGTTGGGGATATTGTAACAGCGATATATACTCATATGCATTTTCCATCAAGCTAACAAATTATGACAAATATTTCAACCATACATTAAGCACCTGGAAAAATATTATGGTTCTTTCAGGATAAAGAATAGTACAGTTTTAGAATTCAGTACTTAGAAACAGCTCTACTGTGAAGAACTTTAATCTTTCCTCTGATTCTTCAGCAGAAGATGGTTTTAGTCTCATATGGCCCTGCCAATTTTTTAATCGGGCATCCAAAACCAGATTTTTCTGATTAGGCAAAAAGTGTAAATTTAAGATATTACACACAAGGGAAAAAAGCATTAAAAATTATCATCGATAACATCCTAAAAAACAAAGTGAGAAGATCACAAACAATAATTAACTGAGTTATGTAGCATCTACACTGCAACATAAAAGCGTCACTCAATGCTCAGTTTTAATATAAATGGCAACATTTTTCTGGGCAGAATAAATTGTAAACAGCTCTGTTTTAATTAAAAAGCCTTCATAAGTACAATTCCTTACCAAATAAAAAAGCATCCTCCTTGGGTTTGCTCTCTAAAATTGCAGGAAATGATTACAACTTAATGCACTTTCTTTGTATAGTAAAGTAATTCTTTTGTAGCTCTTGTTCTGCCTTGCTTACTTGTGCACAGATAATGCATCATTTTTTTTGGCTGTCCTCTTGTTCATATTCTTAAGCCTTTTCTCTCCTGGAAGAGTACTCAGACCTCAAATAGCAGCAAAGAGTTTATTGTAGCTTAAGAATCCAGTCAATAGGGAAAAAGGTATCATGTTCTGTCTTTTCCATTTTATGGTTTAAAATCAGATTTGTAAACACCAACAGAATCCAGAAGGTGATTCAAGCAACTCTTAAGTTCTGCTGGACTAAATATTTGGTATAGCCCTGTGGCTGTCTCCTGACCTGCACTTCCCTGCGGTTTTTAAGCTTTGCTTTATGAGGGTGCATATTCAAATCCTGGATTTTTAACGTCAGGGATTGTTACTGGGTAAAGGCACAAGTTCAGACCCAAGAGATAAAAGCTCAACTGGTCATATGATCAATTATCGGGACTGATGCTTTAATATCTATTTCCTCTGCTAAAGCCATAGAATATTATTGACCTGAATCCTACACATGCCAAGATTGTATATTTCTGCAATCTATACAGGTAGGTAGAGACAAACTACAAAATCTGCTTGTGCAGATTCAGTAATAGTGCATAGATATGAGTTAATATTTAAAGCTCCAATTCACTTCTGTCTTTTGATCTTGTAGGTTTACTGATGATAATGGAGTAGGGGAACATTCATGAAATAGTGTAATTGGGCATACAGAACAGGCTGTTGTCCTGGGTTATGAAAACAGGGGCAGAAGACGTCTACTGAGATTTCTGTGAAATTAAACCTTTGTCCTGAAGAAATAAAAGGAGAGGATGACTGGATCCAAAGATGACTGCAAGTGAAATAAAGCTTTGCAGTGACAGACACTGCTGCCACTGACTACAGCTTTCAATGTGACATCAAGATTTTGGTTTTTATCATTCTGCATAACATTACTGCAAACTCTCTTAAGGCTATTGCTGCAGGTTTTTTTTTCTTTAAAAAAAACATAACAGAACAAACAAACAAACAAAACCCTCCAAGAATGCCAGCCTTTATAGAACTATTAAATCCAGAGGTAAAAATAGCAGCTATGTTGTTAAGAGCACTCCAATTATTTTTAACATCTGATCCTCAAAAACATGAGTTTTCTAAAGTGCAAACTTGTCACAGACATAAGAAAAGGCTCTTCTGCCCACCATCTCTCAGCTATTTTGTAGAACAGAAAGCAACAGAAATTCCATTTCTGAAAGAAAGAAATGATGAAATGAATATTAAAGTTGTAAATGCTTGATAACTGGAAATTGTGAATATATTTTATGAGTTTCACTGATATTTTGCATATAGATGGTTCACAGAGAAAAGGTCCCAATAAAGGGCAGTGTTTAAACAGTTCAATCAAAGAGTCATGTGCCAAACAAAATAGTAACAATGCTTTTGTTTTCAAGACAAATTTCTTGTTATGATTTGAGTTAAACTGTCATTGTGTTAATTATATAGGCAAATTGGAAGTTTGCACTTCAGGCATTTCTGAAGTCTCTGTATGTGTAGAAGTTTTATGTTAGATGCTACAGGAAGCACATATTTACTTTTTGTATCTCCTTAGGTGAAATAAAAACACAAGATTTTTACCTTAAAGGACACCTTTTCAAGTTCCTTCCCCTACTTCCCCAAGCCAAATTCAACTTAGAATAGCCTAAACACTGCCTTATGCTGTTGTTAGTCATTCCTCACTGCTTTCAGGGGAGGAACAAGAAAGCAGCAAATACTTAGTGCTGCATACTTATAACCAAATTACAACACAGCTGCACTGGAGATTTATGAGATGTTCTCACCCTTTTATAAATCTGTGTAGGTAAATAACTTATGCTCACAGGCAGTCCTTAAAGTATAACACAGCATTTTTCACTGGTAACAATCACACATAATACAAATTCCAAATAAAAATATGTTCAAAATCATAAAATATCTGCTTCATCATGGCCACAATTTTAATAAAAGTTAATCAAAAGCACATCTTGATGTAAGTTGTACTGAAATGAACATGGCCATGGTCTCACACCTGAGATCACAGTCCAACACTCAATGCGTTTACTTGAATCTTAGACTCAAATGCAAAAATATACAACAGTACACTTCCTTTATTTCAGGAACAACCCTCTGGCTTTTGCTATAATGCTCCATCATAATCTGAGTGGAATTGAAATATTAGTCTGGAAAACAGCTGGAGTAATCAGTAAAGGAATGTTTTTCATATGAATTAGTCCTTCAAATATAGTTAGTTTTTTAATATTGATAGATATTGGATTGATCTCTTTTGGAACGAGACTATCAGGGCCATGAGTCTGAAGAAATAGCACAACTCTATTTTTTTTTTTTTGTCCTACTCTAAGTATAGTTAAACAAAAATCGGAAGAGATTCTTTAGAAAGATTACGCAGTCTCCTTCCCTGAAAGGTTTTAAAAACAGATAGAAAATATCTGTAAAGAATAATTTAAAAGTCCCCGTATGTGCCATATGTACCAATAATGCAGTTAATACTTCTTAGTCATTATAGATGAGTAGTGATCCATAAGATCTCAGAAGGTATTCTACGGCACTACCCTAAAAATATAATTGTAAAATAAAGCCAACCCCCACACACTTCCAGACATGCATGCAAACAAATCCACACATACACACATAGACAGAAGTTCAAAGGAAAGCTATAGACAAGCATTTAAATTTTAATCTCATTTTCAACAGGTAACAAAATGGAAACCATAAGACAATACTCAACAAACAATAAGGCTTATATTGGAGCTTTTTTTTTTTTTGAAAGTCTGGATAGTTCTTGGATTCAATAAATGTTCAGATTAATTTTTTTTCATTTTCTTTCTGTTTTCCTTCTGGGTCTGTTAAGATTTTCTGGTTGTACCTTTTAGACACAACTCGTTAGGAAGGGTATGAAGCAATAGACTTAGAAATCCAGTAAGCACTGAAGGACCTGCTCTTGGTATCATACCATTAAAAGTAAGCATGAATTCAATTTTTTATGGCCCTTAGATTAATTTTTTTTCCTTTACTTAAGAACCAGCAATAACCTTGACAGTACCCACTCAGTGTTATTCACCTAGAAACAGATCAAATTGTCAACCTCTTTTTCATTAATCTAGTTTGTAAAAACATTCCTGAATGTAAAAAGTAAAAGTGCTATAATGAAATGGAATATAAAAATAACATGCAATATCTGATTATTCATAGTTTGCAATATGTTGGAAACCATGTCCTTTATATCAGCCAGTTCAGTGATGAGTGATTTCAGTTTTCATCTTCTGTCAAGAAATGGAAATTGTTCTTTCAATTAGACATTCCAGACAAAACAGAGACCCATTTCTTTGAGATTTATGTGTTGAATTTACCTTCATTGTCCCTCAGAGTAAAGTTGGGATTCAAAGGAAACCCTTCATCAACAGAAAAATGGAATCTTGCCCCATTTGCAGAGTTATCTTTGTCAGTTGCAGTGATAGTTTCAATTACCTAAAACAAAAATTAACAGTGAATATGTTGAAATATGAACTTCATCCAAATAGTACCTGATCTCAGCAGGATGCTTTCACTTAGCTTTTTTTTTAATTTTCTACTTGACTGCTGCTAAATTCAACCAATGAAATGACTGGACCATTAGCTTGATTTCTCTTGCATGAAATCTTTAAGGAACTAAACTTCAGTCCTAGATATAAGTGTCCAGAGCAGCTATACTTTCTGACGTTTTAAAATGGCCAGAACTGAGTACAGAGATTTTCGTCATCTGCATTGCTTCCTGCTG